TCTCTCTCCTCTTCCTTCCTCTCTCTCCTCCACTACCCCCCCCCCCCCCCCCCGTCTCTCTCCCTCCCTCCGGCCCCCTCTATGTAGATTCGTACAGCATCGATGAGGCATTCACCGCTCGTTGCTTGCTACCTAGCATGGCTCAGCTACTGGTTTTGTCATGCGGAGCCTCTCAGGTTAGGAGGAGGAATCACTCTTGAGCTTCAGGAGGGCTGCGAAAGCGGCTGGGCTTGTCTTGTGCGGCGAGGACGGCAGGAGGTGAAAGTTGATGTGCTTGCGGCATATAACGACTGGGTCATGGAGATCGCGATGCCCAAGGAGATCCACATGGTCGGCTTACGGATGAGTGTCGTGGGAGATAAGAAAGGCTTCATGCGGTACCGTAGAAACTCTGAGATCCATGCTGCTGCAAGACAGACAGAAGGACGCGAGTCATGGTTCACGTTCGTTCTGCCTGGACCTCCAGCTGATGATTATCGCCTGACCGTTGAGATCGACATCAGCAGGCAGCACCATGCCATTGAAACTACCTTGTACACTCACTCCATCAGATTCGTTGATCTTGACCACCGCAAACTGAAAGTCGGAGAAATCTTCGACAGTCTTACCATCATTCCAGATGAGAATGCTACAAGTCACGGCAACGAAATCCAATGTAAACTTCTCAGTGCCGATGAGAAAGAATTGATTCTCATCTTTTCTCTTCCACAAGCTGAGCAACAAGTAAATCAGCTTTACTCGTTTTCCTCAGACGTTTTCCATGGGCACAAACTTGTTCTGTCAGTTCAAGTGAGCTCTATTTTGACGTTACAGGACGATTCACATTGCTTTATGAGCTTAAATATAGGCAGACTGACTGGAGGAACTTACAAGCTGAATTCAAGTTTGAGTCAAGAAAAGTTTCGAGCTTTTGCAAGTAATTCCTTTTCGGTACCGATTGAAAGTTTGCGAGTCGAAGATGATCAGAAGAACGCATTGCTTGCATCGGATCGAAGACGTTCTGGCAGTACGCACAAACCTCTATCAGGACAAGATGAGAAAATATTTCTCATCAACGCCAATGCGCGAGGCTTGATAGACATCTTCAGAAATCTTGACTCACGAAAGAGTTCTCTCCTTCTACAAAATGAAAGGATACTAGCATTTCATGTTAGCCAAAACATGTCATCAGAACTTTTTGCATTCCAAGAATTTCATTCTGTTGGCGGTCTTCCGTGGCTCATGCTGAAATTTCAAGTTCATCAAGTATGCAAGAATCGATCCCAGGAGTTGCTGCAAAGTCTTTGTTCAGCATGTTCTGTTCACTATCGCATGGGTGATGGTGATGTATTGGAGAGATCTGTTCTCGAAAAGAAGCTGGATGTAGTCTCGTCCATTTTCGACAATGGTACATGTGGGCTGGAGTTGAAGGGTCTAATCGAATCAAACACTCGGTGGTCATTCGGGGTACGTTGTCGACCGTCAAGTGTCATTTCTGTTCGGCACTTTGAGTGGAAAGTGGTGGATGTGCAAAGTCTGGATATTCACATGCAAGGCTATAAAAGGCATGAAGAGGGCGACAACTTCAAGGAAGAGATGGAAGGACTGATGCCTGGGAAGTATGCCTTGCGGGTTGACGTCAGAGCTGTCCTTGCGTTGACGCCAGATGAGTCCATTGATCTCAATGTTACCTTGCAAGATCAGCTCACGGCCTACAGATCGGACAACTGCGTCAACATACCTCTCACTTCAGATGGCCTGATATTGGGAGAAGAAGTTTGTAAGACGATTCGAACGCAAGATTCGACGAGGAATGAATGCGAGAATGTCACGTTTGTCACTTCCGCAACGATCGATAGATTGCCAACTCTCCTGAACCTCCTGGCCCACTGGTCGCGTCCAGTCTCAGTTGCAATCTATGCGCGTACCCACGAAGAGGAGAGGCAAATCAGCCTATTTGTAAGGAAATATGTGCTCCCCTGGTGCTCCAAGAAGCATCAAAGCATCTCAATCTGCATGCTCACCGCTTGCATCGATGAGAGTAGACCTCCTTTCATCCTTCCGTTTCCTGTCAACAGACTCCGACGTCTCGCCACCTCCATAGCCAAGACGGACCTTGTCATCTACGCCGACATTGACTTGCTCCCATCGGCAGACCTTGGAAGCATCATCATGGAGAAGTTCCTTTCGAGGCAGGTGCAAGGATGGAAAGACGTGCTGGTGATCCCATCCTTTCGAAGCAGCGACGAGTCATGGCCCTCTCCTGCAAGCATACTAGGGAGTGACAACGACGTCTGGATAGAAGCCGAACCGATCAAGACTGATTCTTTGCTGGAGAGGTTTCTCAACGAGACCGTTACGATCCCAGGACTGAAGGAGCTTGAGTTGCCAAGAGGCGACTTGTGGTTTCATTCGTCGGTGTTTCATGCTCCGACAGACTATGCCCGATGGTTCAACGCGAAAAGTCTTTACGAGGTCGACTACGTATTAGGGTACGAGCCTTACGTTGTGCTCAACCGAAGCGACTGGCACGGACAGCATGGCTGGGGGCTGTGGGACGAAGCCTTTGACACATGGGGATGGGACAAGGCTTCCTTCACGTTCGAGGTGGCACATCTCGGGTACAGCTTCCTCGTCAGCAATCGCGGGGCCTTGCTTCACGCCTCCTTGTCGCAGTATGACTTCCCTGACCTCCCGCACTTCTCCTCCACAAGCCGCAGGACGCGAGCGGATGGTTGGGGCCCTCCCGACACTGTAGGTCGACGACGCTTCTTGGAGCTCGTGCAGAGGGAGCAATCTCGGCGCTTGTCCTGGATGATCAAGTCTTGCCTGGTGTCATCGTTCCTGGTCGACTGCGACAAGTCTGACCTGTCAAACCGCGTCGAAGTTCGTGTGCTCAGCAAGCACAGGAACGGCAGCCTTGGTTTCATCAAGAGCTGGAGCCTCGCCGGACTCACCCACCATGTTGGGTATCTCTTCCAGCTAGAAATCCTGGAGGCGGAAGAGGAGCAAGAGTTTTTGATTCAGCGACAGTTTGTGTGGGATGCATGGAGCAGGCAGCAAAAGGTCCTTGAGATCCACGTGGAGGAAGACAGACAGAACGCTACTGCCATCAGAGCTGTCCTCAAAGACCTGCACGCCTCCCAGCTGCTCGGCTATCACTCCATTTTGTACTCGTTCGAACATGTCATGGTTCCCTGAGAGTTTGGCAGGCGACACCCAAGTTGTTTCTTTCCGCTCTTTATGGCACAACATCTTCATTAGGATCCTTTATTGTTTGCAGACATCCTGTACACTTCTTTCAACTACATAGATTTACTCACACAAAGCTGTAACTAGTTCACACAAAACCTGATGTTAAATACACAGCACGAAAGTATGAATAAAACGATGAAACTTTGATAAGATGAATGAAAATGATTACAGGCTTACTTAGCGACACATCAGGCTCATCAGCGATAGATATGCAACTTCTTTCAGTGATTCAAAATGATAGTTGTGTATCCTCAACTCCCCCGCGCTGGATGCTATTCACTCTACCGAGACTTCCCTGGTCTCAAAATCGATGAACTTTCAATCCTCTGACCTCGTCAACATGT